GTTAACCACCCAAAACATACACCCAGAGTGGCAGAAAAACCACAGTGGCACTGCTACAAACGTCACCGCTGTGCCAACACATCCAGAGTACACTGTATGTACAACTAAATAAACATTTCCAGATCGCTGAATAGATTATTGACCAGCTGCCTGTTGTGTGGCTGGTTAATAAGTGGCCTTAGTGAAACCTTGACTGCTTCTCAGATGAGCCAGTCTCATGACAACGAGATGAATAGAATCGATGCATAAAGAAAAGTAAACTGCCACGTCTCAAAAGGACGGGAAGCACCTGCGTCTTCTGCTGCTGCTGCTGCTGCTGCTGCTCAGCTCCACACTCGCGTCTTTTTAGAAAGTGTTGCAAGACCATGAATACGTGCTGCTGCTTGTGAGCAATATTGTTTTCATGCTTATGTACAAGCTCATCTCTCCTGCCAAAATCTGTGCTCCTGTATGGCGTACCTGGCAGCGCAGCGACGCTCTATCTGCGCCTGTGGGAACGCACTTGTTTCGAGCTGTCAGTCAGGCATGTTTATTTTCCCACCGTAGCAGCGCCCACAGGTTCCTGGTGCTCGGCTCTGTCGGTGCTCCACCATCCAGCCATGCCAACAGAGCAGTCGCACAGGGAGGGTGGGAAGAAAGTGAGGGAGGGAGCACAGGTGGGGGTTCTCCTCCACAGGAACAGGTGCCTTTATAAAAATGATGCATGTACCCTGTTGCAGAGTCGCACTGCTCTCGTTGGTGACAATAATGGTTACAGCTTTAAGTGTAGAATATCAAAACTCACGTCTTTGGGAACCCAGTGGTTGTGTCAGAAAAGTTTGACACTTGAAAGCAACACGTGATCTGAATGTTTTCACCACAACTAAAGAAGCCTCTTGGATCAGAAGTAAAGAGAGGTCCAGTTGCTTTTTACTGGAGCTCCTACAACAATTGGAGTCATTTATTGCTAAAAATTACTGGTTGTCGCTTCTCCAATGTGAATATTTGCAGGTTTTTCTGCACCCTATGCAAAGGCTGTGCGCAATTACATCGGTGTATTTACTCATATTTATTAGATTCATCATTTTATAGAGTGAACAATTACTGCAAAAAGCCTGTTTATGGTGCTATTTGTTAAATCAATAATGGAAAACATCATTAATTGTGCGTCTGGTGTGTGTGGACATGCACCTCTTTCTGCATATTTGCTTAAACATGTGCCTTTATTAAAAAACAATGTTCGCAGGAAGGTGACACTTCTACTAGACAGATATGTGTCTTTTGCTTAAAATTAATAGAACAGAAACTGGCAATGCAAACTGATCCAATCTGCACGGAGACACTTGGAGTAGATCAATAACAAAAACATCAGAGTAATTTTAAAAATACTGTAATTTCTTCAGTAGAGTAATTTGCATCTTAGCCAGAACTTGCTTAGATTTATTAGATTTTTTTCATTTTTTTAGAGTAAACAATTAAATAGAAAAAGCAGTTTATGATGCTAAATCAATAACAGGAAAAAAATATTAATTGTAGGCCATGTGTGTGGGTATGTTCTACCAGTGTGTGTGTGTGTGTGTGTGTGTGTCCAGTGTTGTATTGCACACAGGTAATCCCCTAATCCTTTACCTTTCCACAATGATGTTAGATACACATCTGTTAAAGTAGTGCCCACCTGCACCCCTCAGCAGCCTCCTTCACACTGCACATGCACAGACATAATCAAGCCAACGCACACTGTGGAAGATCCTGCTGTCACCCGGGAGCTCATATTTGCACTCATCACCGCTCACACGCTCGCACACACACCTGTAATGTTACCTGATAGCCGAGTGCTTGGCAGACCGGTAGATAAGGCTGGTCTGGCAGTGGGTGGTCCTCTTTCTCCGTATTGATGTTCAGGTAGTAACAGATCTCTGCTGGAGCGTCTGCTGCCGGAGTCACACGAGGTAACTCGCAGGAGGAGACAAAGAGGTCAGAGTTCAGGCTTTAAAGTGAATTTATTACTCTTTAATGCGGCACTGTGTTGAGATTAACTCGGACAGAAGTTTCAGTTCAGTCAGGCTGGAAGTGCAGCTCACGTGCCGGCCTCGTCAGTGACGGAATCATTTCAACGTGGGTCTTGTTTCTCGTATTTTATTTCCACCATGACGTTTAAATATTTGGCACTTCTTTTGTGGAGCGAACGTGAGCGCCGGAATTAAGCTTGCTTTGGCCCCCGATTCTCTCCTGGATCTGGATCAAGTATCATCACGGCAGAATTGAGAAAAATAATACCGTGTTTGAAAAAAAAAAAAATACCCTGAATTATGCTTTGGCAACAGTTGCTGTAATTGAATGCTGATTACGGCCCACTTGGTGAATTGATCTGACCTCACCCTGGCAATTAACAATTCTTCTACATGAAAATCAATGTGGCCCTTTGGAAATGTTAGCGACAAATCTTATTACATGGATTCCTTGTCGTTGGATCGTGTTCACTTTTGGGTTTTCTGATTTTGACCACTGGGGTGCAGAAAACCGAGCTGTATTGCTGAACATCGGCTTATTAGGCCGGCAGTGCCATCCCATTAGAGTTTGGTTTCTTCCCTCCGTATTCGCTGGCTTTTCAACGTCAGTAATCTTGTATCTTTCTTAGCAGCCACTTATTTACTTTGTCTCTCCTCAGCGTCGCAGCAGTCAGGTATCGTACCGATCTCCTAAGAGCCTGAGTGGTGGTTGGAGTGTTTTTAATTGCTTCATAGTGTTGTTTTGAAGAGAGCCGAATTGAATCTCGCATACCAGCAAACCCGGAACAATGGATTCAAAGTGCCTCAAATACCCAACGCTTGATGTTGATTCTCAGTGGGTTTGGCAGCAATATTTTCAACCATTTCCCCATCATATATACATGTCTGTGTATGTATACTATATGTATGCCATCTCCTACTGCTCTGTGCAAAGCAGTCACTCCTGTCACATTTTTCCTTACTGTTGGCTAATTTTTCACTGCAATATAAACTCCTGCACCTCTACAGAAAAAGCTGTTTAGAAGTAGAAATCAAAAGAAATTAGATTTGATTTTCTTTGGTTAGTTTTTACTAAAATGAAACAACTACAATCACCGCATTTTCTGTCCCTAACTGTTACCAAGACCATAAAACAATTAAGTGGTGACTCTACATTTTACTAATTCCTTTATTTATTTATTTCTTTGCACACTTTCTCCTAAATATCTGCTATATGCTGTGTATTAACACAGCCTGCAGCTCAGCCCGGTTCTGCTATAAAGTCTCTTATTTATTGGCACTAGACTGTTGGTTGCAGCTGAGTTACTCGAGGCTTCTTAGTTGCGCCAAGTAGACGCAGACTTTTTGGGTTTTTGCAGTATCTGTTTAGTGCAATTGGTTCATTTTTGGCATTTTTAAAAATCTGAGACATGTTGTATAAGCAGAGTTTGATAGCTTAGATTTAGTTAATTCTTCTGACCTAACAGCACATCACAGAAGAGTAGTTCAAGGACTGCTGGGAAATCAGACAAATCTTTATGTTTTTATAGTTTTTGGCTCTGATAAATGGTGTAATTTTGGTATTTTTTAAGGATTTGGGGATTAAAGAGTTAAGCAAGAAGAATTATGATACTTCTGAAATATTTCTAAGATGATAAAAACAAGTGGACCTACTTTGTGGCTTCTCAGTTGCACCAAGGACCCCTGAATTTTTCTGTTTTTACAGAGAATCTGTTTAATGTAACTGATTTATTATTGGCATTTTTTTTTTTATGAGACATGTAGTTGTTTTTGAAGTTTTTGTTTTTGCCTTTATTAGATAGGACAGTCAAGAGAGAGAGAGAAAGTAAAGTGGGGGAGACGAATGCGGGAAGGACTTACAGGAAAGGGCCATGAGTAGGACTTGAACCCATGGCTGCTGCTTCGGGGACTATAGCCCCTGTACATGGGTCGCCAGCTCAACCAGTTGAGCTATCGCGACGCCCGGACTTGTAGTTTTGATGTGATTTTATTCTTAGTTTAGTTTCCTAAAAAACAAAAAAAACAAGCACCTTTCAGATGAGTAGTTCAAAGCACCATCGGAAAGCTGAAAATCCAGTGATCAGACAATTTCCGATAAACTGGGTTTTGTGATTCAGAGGGTTAGACTTGGATTTGATGTTCAGTGAGCCGATAATGCGAATAGTGAAACTTTCACCATGTGCAGTGTCATTTCATCTTGATTAAATTGTTTATATGTATAGAGACATTTGTCTGATCAGCGGTTGCATATGTTATTGATTTAAAATGCTGCACAAGCATTGAACTTTAGAGATAAAATAATAGATTTAATCAATATATTTTTGACAGGAAAAAACTACAGACCGTCACACAAAGCAAACAGGAGTTTAACAGACCAACATCCACAAACATTTCTCCCCTAAAAGTAACCGTGCTTCGCCCAACTATACAACTTCAACATGAGACACAACCACGGACAAAACTAAACAAATATTCCAGTGGACGCATGAAAATTTAATTTTTTTTAAAAAGTGCCTCGAGTTTGCCCGTCATCGCACCAGGTGCCGGTCTGTATCAGGTGCCAGAGCAAATTTAGTCAGATGTTCCTTCTATTGAGGCTACGAAGGAGCTCCAGACAAAAATATTTTCTCTTCCCATTACTCTGTACGAAACTCAGCCATTTTTTGCCATTAAGAGTTCTATCTGTTTCCTAAAACAACATGGACAAGATGATTTCCAGTGTCTCAATGTTATTCTACATGATTATGTCTGATTTTGATGATTTTTGGCTTGTGTGCATCACAATGTCTGGACAAACGGAGTCACCCAGTTTCCCATAATGCAACACTTCTGTCGTATTGTCGTTGACCGTAAAGATCTAAGGATGCAAATTTAAAATCAAGAAAACCAAACAAGTGGGTTTTTTTGGGGAACTCTGGTGACTCAACCCTTTAAATGCAGCGCTTGTAGGTTTGTTGTCTTTATGGATTCTTGCAGCACCTTATTGACGTCTTCATACCTTTTCTTCACCAGGGTCCTCCAGGATCTCAGCCTTCCCCTCACACGCAGCCTCCCCCACACAACCCCAGCAATCCCATGATGGGACCTCACGGACAGGTAAGAAAAGAAGCCCCGTCCTTCGTAGTTTTCACTCGTTCACCCCCCCCCTTCACTCGCTCACCCAACAGCAGCTTACAAACAGCACGCGGGTCCCTTGTTGCGTTAACAGGCAGGACAGGCAGCAGCATCCACGATGGTGGAGGGGATGAATAATTTAGCTGTGTTGGCCCAGCTGTAAGGAGCGGAGGTGCATCTGGAGGGCCTCCTCTCTCCCTCAGCCCAGCACTCACCATCTCATAGTCCATCAATAGACCATTAATATTGCAGCACAGCCTGACACTGTGCTGCTCTTCGTGTGCACAAACCCACCACAACATGGTCAAAGACGGCAGAGAAGAAGAGCCGAGGCTGGAAAAGGAAACAGTAGTAAGTCGGTTCTCGCCTCGAGGACTAATTGTAATTATATAACTCGTCCTCCACTTGCCCCCAAACATGCAGTATGTAATCGCCACTTGTAATGCAGCATCCCGTTGTATTTGCGCTGCTTATCTCTGCGTGAAGATAGCGTGTTCTGCTGCTCGTGCTCCGTGACCAAAACACACAACTCTTCCCCCAATCAGCATTCAAATCAGCGTGTTGATGCTAAAATAGCTGGATTAAATTCTTATCATCTGACACTGAATTATGGCTCACCGGGTTTGTGGGCATTTGTAGTTTGCAGCAGCGCGCTCTCATAGGTAATTCTGAAAACCATCTGTCTGTGGTGCTTTACATTATTCACTAGTTGTGCACTGGCTCTGTGTCCCGGCCAGCCTCTTCTTCTTCTTCTACTGCTTGTCCCCGCTCTGCAGAAACATATGTGTCTAGTTTATGTTATGAATCACACTATCCAGGCAGAATCTGGTTACACGGGGACTCAAGGAAAAATGTCCAGACACCTTAAAGATGTCGAGCGTTTTGTCTACATCGTCGTGTTTCTGTTCTCTTTCTGCTGCACCTCCCTGTTTTCATATTGTTCCTCCAGTCCGAGTTTCCGTCCTGCTTGTTTTTCTCCCCGTCTCTCTCTCTAACTCTCACTTATCTGTCCTCCTTTACCTTTATCCTAATGGCTTTTACCACCTGAGGTCTTACTTTCCAAAACTTAATGACAAGCCCCTCCTTCTTGGGAAATTTAACAAAACTACAGCAGCACATTATTCTTTAACACAATAGCTCCCCCTGCTGGCATGCAAGGGTAACACCTCAGAACTGGGTAGATCAGGTACACTGGTAGAAAGCTAGGTTTACTAAACCTTTTGTGTCTCGTTTAACCACAGATGAGTAAATGTTACTGATCGATCTGATCACCTGAGAAGAACTTTGTGGACAATCTGCTTTACACAGAAGTCTGACTGCAGCTAAAGAGAACATTTGGACAAATACATCAAAGGAAGATAAATTCAATTGAAGCTAAATGAAAAAATATCCTCAGAATATTAGTTGCAGTGTGTTGTAGAGACGTCAGCTCATTCAGTTAAAAAATATACAAGATTTGTCAGAGTATCCATGTGATATTATTAACCCATAAACTCTAAGCAGTTGTTGGAGTTTTAAACATTTTTCCTCCCTGTGAACTAGTTTTTCACTTCAAAATAAAATCCTGCACCTCTATGGAAACCACACAACCGTGGATAGAAGTAGAAGCAACTCAGAAGTGTCTTATAAGCAGTATGTCACAGTTCTAATGTCAAAAATCTTAAAAATAGAAAAACAAAAGTTGATTTTCTTTGATTAATTTATTTTACAAACCATCCATCCATCATCTATACACCTTAATCCTCACTAGGGTCATGGGGGGCTGGAGTCTATCCCAGCTGACTCAGGGCGAAGGCAGGGGACACCCTGGACAGGTCACCAGTCTATCACAGGGCCACACTTAGAGACAGACAACCAAGCACACTCACATTCACACCTATGGACAATTTAGAATCACCAATTAACCTCAACATGTTTTTGGACTGTGTGGGAGGAAGCCGGAGAACCCGGAGAGAACCCACACTGCACGGGGAGAACATGCAAACTCCACACAGAAAGATCCTGGTGTCCTCACCGGGACGCGAACCGGCGATCTTCTTGCTGCGAGGCAACCACCGAGCCACCCTGCAGTCCTGCAATCAGCATTAAACATTTTTCCAAGTGCCTCCAGCTGTTATTAATACTAGAAAAAATGAAATGGTGGCTCTACATACTGTAATATAGATATTTTACTACTTCCATTTTTAATTTGTTTCCATACTTGTCTCCTATCTGCTCTGTGTAAACACAGCCTGCAGTTCATCCCAGTTCAGCTGTAAAATCTGTGAATATTTGTCACGTGACTGTTGGATGTTAGCTGACTCCCTCATGGTGTCTCAGTTCTGTCGGGGGTGCAGAATTTATCATTTTCTGTTTAGTGCGAATGCTTTACATGACTCTACATTTTACTCCTTACATTTTTAATTTGTTTCCTCACCTAAAGTCTAGAAGCTCTGTGCAGCTCAGCCCAGTTTAGCTGTAAACTGTATATTTTTTTTTGTCACTTTACTGTTGGTTGCAGCTGAGTAGCTCATTGCTCCTCAGTTGCATGAAGGCGCACAACATTTTTTGTTTTTTACAAAATTCGTTTAGTTCAATTGGTTCATTTTTAGCAAATTTTTAAATGCGACATATAGAATAAAGGAATAAAGTGATTTTGATGAAATATCACAACTTTAAGCCTCCAATTGAGTCATAATTGAGTAGTTCCTGCACGATTGTGTTTGATGAAACTTTAATTTTAAGTTTAATTTGATGCTCACTGAGCTAATAATGCTGATGACATGCTGACTTATGTACATTTTTATGGCAAGTTTTTATTATGTGTGATGCTTTCTTTCATTTTATCTTGAAACAATTCTTAGTTTTTTGGTTTTCTTGTACAAACCGTATCACAGAGTGATATAAAGTCATGAACAAACGTATTTAAGACATTGAAATCCTTCATTACAGAACCTTAAAGAAGTTTTTAATGTGTGATCAGTCTGAAATAAACCACTTTCCTTCACCTGTCCTCTCTGCAGCCATTCATGTCTCCGCGGTACCCAGGTGGTCCAAGGCCCGCCCTCCGTATGCCAAATCAGCCTCCTGGGAGCATCCCCGGGTCACAGCCTCTCCTTCCAAACACCCTGGACCCCACCAGACCTCAAGGTACTGACGAACACAGTGGTGTTATTTCAGGGACTTCTGCAGAGAAATCTTAGCCTTCAGAATGAGAACTTTTTCTAATCATGATTAACGCTGCTGTGCTAATGCTGTCTGTGTTCCACATCAGGGCATCCAAACATGGGAGGTCCAATGAGAATGAATCCCCCCCGAGGCATGGGAGGCATGGGCCCACAGGTAGGCACCAGTTATAATGGCGATGATGCTGTCATATAGAGTGAAATTCAAAGTGCTGTGTTACCAAACCAAGTCACGACAGTGGATGGTGTCCTTCAGCATTACCAGCCCACTGCACTCCCACTCTGCAGCTGCCACACAGCCAGATTTGGAGTTTGGACTGTCAGTTTATGAGCAAACCCAATGTTTTGTTGCCCTTCATTAAGGGCTCCCATAAAAACAGCCATAATGTCAAAGCAGCAGCCTATAAACAGCATGTGGATAATTTTTCTTCTCCGCTGAAGAGGAGTTTTGGTTCGGCCATCCTCATAACTTTGCCTTTAAATGTCAGAAGCGCTCTCATGATTAGCTTGGCTCTGGCCAGAGCTCACCCACTGCTAACGCCAGTTCTACATGTTAAATCCTACTTGCCGACTCCCACGTAGGGAGACAAACTGAGGCCGAACACTCAGACTGCAGCGAGCGAGTCACCACCGACACATTTTTACCCAAAAATGGTGCCAAAGTTGGCGTGGTCGGTTTCCTTTTATCACTTTAATTTGTGTTAATGTGATTTATTGTAATACATAAGATGCTTAAACAACAGTGTCCTTTTGAATTACCATTACCAGACAGCTGCTTCATTCTGCACCCAGCAACCTCACACTCCAGCGTCACCTCGCACAAAGACACAAACACACACTCTCTCTCCCTGTGCCCTTCGGCCCCTCTCTGTGCCACCCTGGCTCGGTGACTTTGGCAGCGAGCGTACAAGCAGCTGGTGTGGCATCTGCTCGACAAGTGTAATCGTCTGCTGAACAAAACTCTTCCTCTGAGTGGAGCTGCTCTCTGGCCTGCCCCGCCACTCTCTCACTCTGTCAAACACACACATGCATACCCAAGTACATGCATGTAGCGCCAGCCAAACCCGCCCACTGGGCAGCCATGAAAACATACACACAAACACGCGGGAGGGAGCGCGGACACACAGAGGCGCGTTTACAGAGACTCACAACATACACCGGCAAACACACACACAGCTGGCCACTTTCACACACAGCCCACTCCAAACAGCCCACACACGGCTCATACATGCACATAATTAAACACTAGTTAGTGGGAGACATGATCGTCGCTGACCTTCATTAAGATTCAAACCTTTAGACGGAGCAGGTGTGAGACTCTGTGCTGACTGTGTGTTCGTCTTTTTTGTGCAGAACTACGGCGGAGGGATGAGGCCTCCTCCGAACTCCATGGGGCCAGGGATGCCAGGCATGAACATGTTAGTACACTGCAAAAGTTGTTTTTTCATGTTTGTGAATTTTCATTTCCACAAAAAAAAAGCCAGATTTAAAAGAAAGGCTTTGTCTTTTTCAAAAGCCTATAGCTTACTTTTAGCCGTCAGTGCTATCGGTCGTAATAACACTTTACTCAGAAAGTCAAATCCTGAGATCGGTGGATACAGCAAGATTCTTTACAGCCACAAACAGAAATATTGTGCAAAGTTTAACTCAGTCTGTACATTCTAATGCACAGATTTCCATAATATTTGTAGTTTTTTCCTCGCCAAAATAAGAAAAGGCAGAAATGTGGCTTGTTTGCAACAACAATAATCATGATATTAGTTGTTTTATGAATGTGGCACCCAATAATCGACCCTTGAGCTTGGCAACTCTCATCCTCCAACAAAATCAGGCTCAAGATGGGGGGATATCTGCCTTGGCTGGTTGGGGTGAGAGGAAAGTGAAGCGTTAAGGAAATAAAGTGGAATTAAGTCGACATTATATAGAGAAATAATGAAAAGTGAGATTAAAACATGAGATAATTTGATTCTTCAGAAGACTGAATTTCTAAAAGAGGTGCATTCAAATAAAGTAAAATTTCATCTCTAGTCAGGATTGACTCTCAGAATAAAGGTACGTTTTAAGAGGACATTTAAAAGATGTCCCTGCCTTGTCTTGGGGGTCCCGAAGTTTTCAATAAGGTGTCCTGAGCAGATAAAAGACGTCTGCCCGAGGATCCAAAGCCACATACTGGTTCACTGAAAGGTCAGTAATGTAGCTGGAGGAAGGGCCATGAAGAGCCTTAAAAGTAATCAATAGGATATTTAAGTCATTTCTAAAACACACTGCGAGCTTAAACAGGAGTGATGCGGTCGTGCCTCTTGGTGCCGGTGAAAAAGCTGGTAGCTTAGTTCCTGAAAGCCTGAAGTCAATCAATAAATTTCTAGCTAAGACAAGTGAAAAAGCCGTCGGTTAAAATCGAGGCGGGATGGGGGGGGGAAGCATATAAAATGGTGTCTTTAATCCTATGGCCTGCAAGAAGTTTCTGGGGCATTTTTGACTTTTGTCACATTTTTACTCACCGTGGGCTCATTTTTCACTGCAATAGGAATTCCTGCACCTCCATGGAAACGGCACAACGATGACTAGAAGTAGGGAGAACTCAGAATGACTCAGTTATAATGCCATAAAAAAAAAACAGGAATCAACATGTTCAACATTTTTCCAAGTGCCCACAGGTGCTACCAATACTGGAGAAAAATGGTGACTACATACATGAGATATTTTACGTAGTTACATTTCTGATTTGTTTACATACTCGTCTCCTGGTGTGTTCACCACAGCCTGCAGTTCAGGCGAGTTCAGCTCAAAGGTTCCTGAATGTTTTTCATGTGACTGGTGATCAAAGCTGAGTTAGTCATGGCAGCAGTCACAGAATCAGGTCAACTCAAACGGCCCTGTTTTTTAAGTACTTTTTAAAAAAATAAAATGTAGAATGAAGTGATTTTGATGTCATATCGTGAGTTTAAGCTCAAATTTGATGAACTTTTCTGACCAATCAGCATGTGACAGAGGAGTAGTTCAGGGACTGTTGGAAAGTTGAATATCTGCCACATATTTGTCATTTTAACTCTTTTTTTTTTTTCAAGATTTGGGTGCTCAGAGGGTTAGGAGAAGGAAAGATGATACTTCTGAAATATTTGCAAGACGATAAAAACCGGACCGCTTTCATTCTCCGCTGCTCAAAACTTAAATTGCTATGAAATGAAACTCCAAGATTTCTTACAACAGGCTCAACCTGTTCCAGCAAAAATCTTAATGATGGCAGGAATTACCCTGTAAAGTCCTGGAACTCAATGACATTTATCTCAGCGTACTCATTTTAAACTCATTTTTAAAAAAATCGTTTGTCTTTTGTGCCACATTATCTGTCATGATTCCGGGTTTGTTGGGCAAATCAGGGAGGTACAACTGAGTGTCATTAGCATAACAATGAAAGGAAACAACAGAACTATGAATACTTTGTCCCTGGGGAAGCATGTATGGAGAAAATACAGTTGGACCTAGAACTGACCCCTGAGGCACACCATACTGTACATGTGCAAATGAAGAGGTGTAGTTATTGGCAGACACCCTTTTTGAAAAACAAACCACTACAGTGCTGGAGACACCTTCACAGTGCCTCAGTCTGTCTATTAAAAACACTGTGGTTGTCTCCAAAGTTGTTTCCGAGGCAGCATCAGAACAGAGCACATGGCCGCATCAGGAGTCAGTGGGACATTACTGGTGACCTTCAAAAGAGCAATCTCTGCGCTGTGGTATTTACAAAAAGCCAACTTGAAACTTTTCAAAACTTGAACTATTTTCAACAGCAGATAGAAGGTGCACTTAGGTTTTTTCAAGAATTTCTTTCAACAAAAGGCAGAATTGGGGAAGAAGACAGTTGACTGGAGTGGTGGGATCCAGCTCAAAGTATTTTAAAAAGAATGAACAAAAATGAGCCTTTGAAAACCAACAGGAAACAGGACCCAGTGCAATAAAAGCTTAGTTGGAATCTGTCTCAATGCTAATCCTGTTGAACTCATCTGTGCCCAGAGAAAATGACGATCCTGATTTTTGTAATTTCATAAAGTTGATCAAATTATAATGTATAAGAAAGGATTTATCTTAGTATTACCAAGTGAATGTAACTCCCCATTAATAGATTATTAATTAGTGAGGATTATTAGCATTGTTTGTCCATGTTTGTCTCCTACAGTACCATACTAGCAATCTTCTCTAGATTATCAGAGAATAAACTGTATTTATGTAAATATCATAGATTTGAATCAGGACATGTAATAGAATGACAAATCTTCTAATATCTTTGTCTTCCTCTCTGTTTGTGCTCCCAGGGGTCCCGGTGGAAGAGGTCCATGGCCGAACCCCAACACCAACTCAGTGAGTCACCTCCTCTAACATCTTTATTCCTACATGACTGAGTGTGTTTACAACAACCGTGTCTCATGTTTTGTTTCACCTCGGGTCTCTTCTCTCCACAGATAGCTTATTCATCTTCATCTCCAGGCAACTATGTGGTAAGTGTCCCGTCATGAACTCCTGTTCAACCACGGGCCATAAATTACCTGTCATGCTGTGATATCTAACAGGCACGCTGCCATTGAGATGCACTCAGCGCTCGTTTCTCTCCTTCTCTTGCTCTCACCCCTCAGGGCCCTCCAGGGGGAGGCGGCCCACCAGGAACTCCCATCATGCCTAGCCCCGGAGGTGAGTTATACGCTTCAGTTTCTCGTCTGATTTCTACTTTTATCCAGTGTTCACTGAAGGAGGGTCTGTCTAGGAAACATCAAATCTGTTTTCTGTCAGATACATGCTTCTCTTCTGGAGACACACAGAGAGCTTAAACTCTGAATACTTGAAGAATTGAGCTGTTTCAAGTATTTTTTTAAAAGTGTAAAACATTCAAAAATGGAAAGCTATTGCACCGATCATCCCTCAAATGTGATAGAAATTAAAAATTTGGGTTGGCTGTTATAAAGTCCTTTTCCACTGCAAGAACTCGTGAGCTGTTTACGGCAGGGACCGGATCTGTAGAGCCTCTTTTAGGCAATTTCTGGGGAAGAAAAAGTACCAAATGTGGAGTAGATACTTTGGAGCAGTCCTTATAAACTGCTGGATGAAGCTTGATGCTGTTTGGTTAAATTCAGAAAAAGATGAAAACAAGAAGTTCCATTTTTCTGCCCTCATGCCCCCTCATCTCATCTCATCTCATCTCAAAGTTTGTACATCCTCGATTCCTTTCCTCAACTCCTCTCCTCTTACTTCTTCCCATCAGAGAGGCCAGAAACGGGAATTTAGCAAAATGAGAATGTTTTAAAGCGACGTGAATTAATATACAACGTACATCTGTTCATTGTTTTGTTAAAAACCTCCCACTGTATTTTCCAGTCTCTGTCAGATAAGCAGAACAACATTCATGATAACTGCCAGTACAATACTTACTTAACATTCAATTCACAGCGTTGCAGAATGTGACAAGAATGTGTGGATGTCATACTTGTTTTTTTTAATTTAACACACACACACACTATACCCAGTCATTTATTGTTACTGCAGCTGTAAGAGAATCCACTGAAAAGCTTGTCTCTATCCTAATTTATCACAATTCAAAATAGAGTTTGCTGGCCTGAGTTCAGTAAGCCTCAGAAAGGTCTTTGTCATGGTGCTCCTTTATTGCTAAACTACCAAAGTGCTCTCTGCTGGCCAACATGGAAGCGCTCGCCTCCGGTGGTTGCCACAATATTAAAGAGAGGCTTCACCTTGTGGTGCAACCAGATACTACAGCTGATCTATAGTGCTTGAAGTGTGCATTATCTACGAAAATGGTATTGGGCATCAGCAGATAATAAATATTAAATGGATTGGATCGGTAGCGAAAACCATCTTGATCGGGATATCCATTGTAAATAGTATTTGTTGTTGCTTTTGAAGGGTGATGAAGGGGGGGAAAGGAAAATTAACCCTGTCATAAAATTATTATGTCACCTCGTGAGTCCGATGGATCCGAGCTTCACATCGGCAGCCCATTCTGTAGAACTTAATGGTCTGGTTTCGCACCACACCATCGTTCTGTTATTGGTGAAAAACGTTCAGGCTTGTTTGTATTTCTTTGAGCCAATCACAGTCATTGTGGGTGGAGTTAAGCGAAGGATGCAGCTGGAATAGTCCAGGTGGAACATTTGCATGCACGAAGATGAACATTGTGATTAAAATGAATAATCTACTGAAGAACAACGAGCAGAGCCGACTTACCGCACGATCCAAATCCGCAGCAAAAGTTTCGGTTGCAGCCTGGAGGTTGTTGTTTCCTGGGGTGAACAAAACTGTAACACAGAGATAGGGGAAGAGGGGGGGGATGCCGACTGAAATGATCGGCCAATGGCAGGCTCATACCTGAGCCATACCTCCACTGAGTCAGACTGACTAAAGCCTACAATAGCAGCGGAGAGCCTGAAGGAGCCAATTCAAGGGCCATTACTATAAATGTTCACCCCACTTCGCACATGAACCGAGTCCCTGCGTACGTTTATTCTGTCACAGATTTCCACTCGAGACGCATACGGGAAACATATTCTCACGTCGTTAGCCGCGCGTTGTCACAGTCGAGACGGCAGAGGCACGTCGGCCCGCAATCAACCGGCTGCTCCATCCCGGCTTTGGCCCGTCAATAACGCGCCTGTGGAGGATTGGCTGAGAACAATACACTGTGGGCTGATATCCTGTAGATGTTCTGTTTCTGTTGGCCCGCGGAGAGCCTTCTCTTTGTGTCCACTATTTATTATTTATATACATACCTCTATTGTGATATGTTACGCGGAAACCTTTTGCAGTCCTGCTCACACGTACACCGGGAGGGAAAGCATATTTCCACTGCAGTCGCCAAGATTGTGCACACACACACACACACACAAACCTCCCACAGAACTACACACACACACACCACTCACACTCAGATTTGCCCCCCTCCTTCAGTCACGACAACACATCGCCACGTTCAGGGACACTAACAGGCAGGATTTCTTCACCGCTCTGCACGTACTGTATCCATCTCCGGCCCTGCCTTTCAATTTGTTATTCCTTTTTTTTTTTCTTTTTTTTTTCTTCCTTTGCTTTTCTCACAACTTTCTACCTGCAATGTCAGATCAAGGTCACCTCATCCTTGTGAATCCTTTCAGGACACACAGACAGACAAAAGAGGAGCGACACAGCATGTACTGGTTGTTCCTAAGTTGCCAGGCTGTCCATATAATAACTAATCCCCTTATTACATGAATAGGGGATAATGGGTTTCTTTCATTGTACATTGCAGAGAGCAGTTAGCAGACTCATTGACAGACAGATTCACTGACACCAGGAACCGGCGGTTACATACAGATGGTGTTTTGTCCTGCGCTGTGGCAGAATAATGGCAAAATTTAACAGAAACAATGTCAGATAGGATGAAAAACAGTCACCAAGATGTCTTCATTATTCCTTATGTTTGACACGATCCCATACCCCAAATCCACCTGATTGTATGAAAACAGACTGGACTAACAGTGATAAACCTTATCTACAGGTACTCATTTTAAACATCCAACTTGTCTCCCTTCACAGATTCAACAAATTCAAGTGAAAACATCTACACAATGATGAACCCTATTGGCCCTGGTGGAAACAGACCTAATGTAAGCTGTCGTTTTGTTCAGTTTTGACCTTGTTCAGTGTTTATTTTTGGTTTATTTTTATATTTTACATCCAGTCATGTTGGCAAATGTGTGATTTTTGGCTGCACGGATAAAAAATGACTCGACTGTTTTTCCTTAGTTCCCAATGGGACCAGGTCCTGATGGGCCCATGGGTGGAATGGGTGCTATGGAGCAGCATCATATGAACGGATCACTAGGTGAGCAACTAAACATGCTGTACAGTGAATGCAGCAGGTACCTCTTGATTGTATTCACTTGTTACTTTCTATGAAGACAGGCTTTCTGCAGTAAGACTCTGCCCTCTTATGGCAGATACAGGAACTGTTTCCCCTCAGTATTGATCAAAGCTAAAACAGATTAGTGGGGCAGTGAGGAGGCCAATTGATCGTGTAGACGTTTGAGACGTAATCAGTGAAGCCGGTGGAGTTTGTGCTCATCTGTATCTGAAACAAATAGCTTAATTAAAGGCTATTAGCAGTGAGAGGGCAGGTTGGGTTCTACTGTTTCTACTGACGTTGAACAGTTAATGCTAATTTTTCTGGGGATTTTCTTTCCGCTTTCTTTTCTAATCACAGGCTCTGGTGACATGGATGGGTTGCCAAAGGTAAGACTGACTAACTATCTATCCGTCTGTCCGTTTGTCCATCCGTGTAAGTTCTTTTTTTCTTAATGGTTTGCTTCATCTGTGTTGTAGAATTCTCCCAACAATATGGCAGGCATGAACAATCCTCCCGGCACTCCGCGGGACGACGGCGAGATGGCAGGCAACTTTTTAAACCCATTCCAAAGTGAAAGTGTGAGTATGATGCAACACACCCAAACAAGATCACATTCACCAGTGCACTCGCAAAGACGCACATCAGGTGATCGTATGTGCCAGCTGGCAGCGGCAACCTGGGCCCGGTTTCACAAAGATAGACTGAATATGACTAAATAGTGATAAATGTCGAAGTTTATGTGTTGCACAAAATTCCTGAAAATCTCAAGCAGGACTAATTTGTGGGTAAATTATATTTTTCAAGATAAAAAATGTGGTTAACAGAGTCAAACCACTACAAAAAGTGATTTCCTGTTGGAAGAAACTGACAGTTTACTTTAAAAGTTCAGTGTAAAGAAAGCTCCCAAGCAAAAATGTCTTCTTGTTTCAACCATGTCACTGTGATAAAGTTTAAACTGGTTACTGAGTCATAATAAGTTCAGCAGTGGTCAGCAGATGTTTTTTGTTACATGGAAACAGGGCTTAGTTCTAGGATTAACTTTTTGGTTTCATCCTCTGAACCGCAAAACCCTCAAAATGCATGTTCACAAAGTTGATCAAATCCAGAAACTATATGTTTTTTTTTAAACTGAGAGAAAAATGTCTGATTCTGACCTTTCCAGCAATTTAACTACTCATCTGTCATGTGCCGTTTAATCAACTCATTAAATCTTAAGAGAGCTTAAACTCATGATATTTCTTTAAAAATGCTCAAAATGAACTGTTTACTCGAACCAGATTCTGTAAAAAAGCTAAAAAATTCTCACCGGTGCAACTGGAGAACCGTTTGTGACTCAGCTGCGAGCAACATTCATGCAACAAATATTCAGGGACTTTTCAACTCAACCAGGCTGATCTTCAGACGGTGATTAGACGGAGCAGACAGGAGACGAGTATGAAAACAAATTAAAACTGCAAGTAGGAAAATATGTGTAGCATGCAGAGTCACCCTTCTTTTTTCAGATATTGTTAACATCTGTGGGCTCTCAGAAAAATGTTGTACATGTTGATTCACAGTTTTTTCCGTCGTTGGAAAATAAATAATCAAAGGCTTTAGTTTTTTCTTTTTTTAACATTTAGTTTATTGAATTAAAACTGTGTCATACTGCACAGAAGATGTTTTTGAGATCTCGTGACCCTAACCACGGTTGTGCTGTTTCCATAGACGACTTTATATTGCAGTAAAAAATGAGCCCACAGTGAGTAAAAATGGGACAGGAGCAGTAGCTGCCTAGAAACTTGAGGTTCAGAAGGTTAAAATAAATGTTTAGTTTGCGAAACCGTCTTGCTTTGGGCTGACCTTAGAACAAAAACCTACAGACGAGTCTAAAGTGTTTGCGAAACTGGGCCCTGCTCTGTTTTGCACAAAGCGCCACAGATTTGTTTTTGGTGGGCTGAAATCACCCTTCATGGCTAAATGGAGATTAGCCACGTGTGTCACACCCTGCCTTCCCAACTGTACCTAACTCAAACACAACAACTCAGCATGCACAGACACAAGCATGGACAAAAGCCACACAATATGCTTTCTCTGATGCATGTAGAGATTGTCATAGAGTGATTAATGAAGAGACTGTACCATCGCTGTGATCTGAAATTCCCTAACATTTTCTCCTTGGGCTGGACTCTGCTCTGCTTGCTTGGTTTACTGACATAGAAAATAAATTAGAGAGGGTTACGTGGAAGTGTTTGCTGCAAAAAAAAAAAAAAAAAAAGGCTGGTGTACTGGACATGGCATTTTAGTTTAGGTAGTTGTATTGCTTTCATCTTAAACTGGGTAGTGTAACAAGTTTAATATAGTATTGGCTTATCTTTTTTCCCCCTCCCTGTCTTTTTTTCTCTCTTTACAGTATTCACCCAACATGACGATGAGTGTGTGATTTTTTTTTTTATTTTATTTTATCTTTTATTTTACTTTTTCATCTCCCTTTATCTCCCTTTCCCATCCACCCCCGGTGCGTCTTGCATTACTCTCCCTGTCCCTCCTCCTCCTCCTCCTCCTCCTCCTCTTCGTGGATGGTGTGCTGTGCCACACAGCCCCTGGGGATCCCCCTGGAAAGCAGGACTCCCCTCAAGGCCCAACATCCCAACGCCTGCAAAATGGGTGTAAGAGCATGAAACGGCCTCCGAGCAGCAGGAAGGGATCTCCTCTCCGCATCTCCTCGCCTGCTGGGGCCCTTCGTCGAGGGCCCCTCGGACAGCGAAAGGCCGAACATGCCCCGAGCCCGCCTCTCCCAAATCCAAAACCGGGCCCGATTCAAGATGCCCCCTCTGCATTCAGCTCTATCCCACCGTCACCCCACCATTTATATCATGCTGATCACAAGCTATGAGGGCTCGCAGTAGCTGACTGACACTGGGCCGAAAACCCTCATTTAAAAAAACAAAACAAAAAAAAAAACCTCTGCTCCTGTGGCAGGATTGATTTGGAAAAAAGAAAAAAAAAAAAAAAAAAGATGAACTCATAATGTTATTTTAGGGCAAGAATGGTTTTCATTAAATGTTTGTATTTTTTTTGCTGTTGATGATAATATTATTGTTCTAATTTTCATAATTGATATTATTCTACTAATGTAGTTATGATTTCCTGTAAAGGGCACATTTTATCTCAGCAGCAGCAGCAGCAGCAGCATCAACAATGACAGAATAAGCACACACGAAAAATGCACAATGATTTTTCTGTTTACATGATTTTAGGTTATTTGTTGTTTTGTCTTGTTTTTTTCGTCACTTCACATACTTTCTTTCTGAAGTCGTAGTTTGTGTCTTTGGCTCCTAAATGTTGTCCCCAAACCTTCAAAGGAGGAGTAAATCCCCTCCGATGAAGAGGTTTGCGCTGAGACGTTAGTGTCTCAGAGAAAACTAGCCATACAGTTAAAGCAGGGGCTCGCTCGGAGCGTCAGTGTTTCTGGTACAAAGTGTCTGTCGATGCACCTGACTGATCAGACGCGTAGGTATCTCGTCTTAATAAGCAACCCTTCTCACGACGTTTTTACTGCTAGAAAATGGCTCCGGGGATTTCGGGACAGGTGCCGTTTCTAATTCAGTAACAGGCGGAGATTGAGAGCGTTTCGTGGATTTCCTCTCGTCTCTTCTATGGATTTGGTCTTTGTATGTAAATACAACATATTTAGCTTGTATTGTGGTTGTTTTCTGATTTGTTATTTACAAGTTGTCTGTGAATCCTAAAGATGTGGTTCCTTTCCCCCCTTCATCACTATGTTCGACCTCATTGTGGACTCCAAAGTGGCACCGTTTTCCTCTCAGGCTTCGTTCTTGGTCTCTCGACAGCGTCTCCTTTTGGACTCGGAGAGATTGCGGGACCTCTGACGAGCTCGTGAAGCCTTTCATTCTTTTGCGTTTGGGTTGAACTCAGCGATCCTGTATGATCCACTTTCTTAACCCAGACGACGCGGGCAAAATAACTGTCTCTGTGGAGTTCCCATCAACCGGTTCCCTCACTGTGGGAGTGCTGATGATGGGAGCAGAGTGATGCACCTTTGAGGTTTGCAGCCACAACGAAGAGGAACAACAATAGCAAACTTCTGTAATGGATATACTTCCATTTTGTGGATTGTTTTCAGCAGATTGTCTTTATTTTAAATGTATTCAACTGAGAAAAATAATTAAAGCCCATAGAATCTGCACACACAGAGAAAAGCATAGTTCCATATTACGCTATTTAATTTCTTTTCTTTCTCTATGTTCCGTACTCTCGACCTGATCAACGCTCACTGTTTCAAAGGGATAAACGTATCTCTCACGGCACCACACTTGCACTTAGCTGTGTTCAACGATAACTAAACAGACATTGTAGCCTCTGTGGGTGATGGTGATGTACTTATTAATTGCCTGATATCAATGTGAACAGATTGTACCCAGAATTCAACAGGGAGATCTCCAGGATTTGGGCTTTCGGTGGCCTGGGGAATCACTCTCTCCAGTGTTTTCCTTCTATGTAGTGACACACGCCTCCCTTCTTTTCCTCCGATCCCGTCCCCAAACCCCCACCCTTTAATTTTTCTTTTTTGTAAATACTGTATAATGCATTTTGATATCATTGACATGTTTTGATATGTCAGTCACTACCAATGAATACAGCTGAAAGTAAATTATAAATAAAAAACTGTCCATGTTTTTTTTTGCATAGAGAAAGGTGACTATTTGGCTCATGTGGCTAAATTTATAGAATACAGTAAAACGTGGCTAAATGTATAGAATACAGTAACACTCTTAATGCAGACTGTATACTAAAGACTTGTATGGTGGGGAGGATGGGACAGAGAGAGGACAGGACAGAGAGAAGCAAACATGCTGTAGCGTCCTCGCTCTGCCCTTGACTCCTTGTGTTTCAGTTCAAAGTCGCTGTTGGTTTTGAGAAATCGTGTGAATAATTTTTTCCAAAGGGCATCTTCTCACAAGAAAGGAAAAAAAACAAATCAAAAACATGTGACCTCATATTGCAGTTTTTAATATGAAGGATTTTTATCAATTTAAGAAAACTTTTAAAAAAGGTAAAAAACACTTAAGAGAAACCTCATTTTAAAATCAAGAACAGATCAAAAAGTAATACTTATGGGGAAAAACTGTGTCCTTTGCTATTCGCTCCTGTAATAGCGTTGTATAGTTTGAAGCTCTCTCACTGATCCTCTCTCAGTCCTCTGTGTATATCGATCGTTGGCCATCTCTGTACTTCTATTGTGATGTATAATACTGTACCATTAGGAAGATTTGCTGGTCGGGCGGGGTGGTTATATTGAGTTGGGGGTGGGGGAGGAGGGGTGGGGGATTCAAAAGGAAGGGGATATAAATGATTCTCCTGTACCATTCATGGTCCTTTCTGATGACACGGCAGTATTCAATATGAAGCAGTCTGTCTCTTGGGTTTGCTTTGTATTTCATGGTAGGATAGTTCAGAATCTTGTCTTAGGGACTTAGGTGTCTTGTGTAGGTAATAAAGATGTTCTTTGTATGTTTCTTTATATTGTAAAGTTTCTTTAGACTGAAAGAAAAACAGATAATTTGCTTATCAGAAAAGAAACAATGCATCAATAATAAATGTCATTTGATTTTTCCTGGTTGTTTGAATCTCTTCCTCTGAGCTCGCATTTAACTTTTAGCCTTTATTTTACACACACAGATGGATAGCTGGATAGCTGGATAGATAGATAGATAGATAGATAGATAGATAGATAGATAGATAGATAGATAGATAGATAGATTATTCATCCCCTTGGGGAAATTCAAGGCACCAAAAATGCTGTTATTTACAACAAAGGTGCAAAATTATTGGTATTTATCAACAATTACGATCCTATGGATGTTTTATACAGTGCATAAATAAATAGTAGGCTTTCAAAAATTGTGAAGTTAAATAATTTCATATGCTTGTATTGTCTACCAGCTATATGGAATGACTCTGATTACTTATAAAATAAACTCTACTCTTTGATTTAGATTCTGGCTAAGGCGTGAAGGGTGGTGGTAAATTCAAAAAGACTTAATGTATGTGGTTTAAAAGGATTAAAGTGCTTTAGTTTAACTTTTTTTAAATACTTTATCATAAGCCTATTTAAAACGTTAAATTATTCATGTTTAACTAAGGCTCTGATTATCAGATTTGCTTTAGGTTAAACTCACACACTACAATTCTCATACAAATATTGAAAATGAAAGTATTCCTCCATATAAGCCAGACACCAGAGAATTATAGTAAAGTCCTGCTGTGTGCAATCAGAAGCTCAATTATTGCTAATTTTGTAATTTTAAAGACAGTTGAATGCTGTTCATTTAGACATAGCTCAATTTAGGTTCTTTAAATTTGGAAAAAATATTGATTGTATAATATGAATAACTTAAGTTCAGTCTTCTAAATGTCTGTTAAGCAAAATATGAACGTGCACAGAAATGTCCAATAGACGCGCAGGAGCTCAAGGTTAACAGGAAGCAGCTTGTTGACATCACTTCGAAGTCAGTTTCACGTTGATCACTCACAACATATAAATATCCCACTTGGCTCCGGTTGCCCAACAGCAACCTAACTTCACTACTGTATCCTGACGGGGAAGGTTGCCCAGGACCAAAACAAGGCTCTTCATAGATAATATTTGAAGGTAAGTTTCTGTTTATTTTGATAAAAGCCTTTATCACGCACGACATTCAGACTGACTGCCTCTATCTGAAGTCGATAAAGGCGGTGGTTCATTGAAAGACGAGGGGAAAACAGTCACAGAACGTTCACTTAACAGTTAAGTAGCTAGCTAGCTAGCTGCACAACTAGCTAGATTACAGCTAATGCTAGTAGCATGCTAGCCGCTTGGGGACACAGCAGCAGTGAGATAACTTGTCAGAAACTTCTGGAAAACGCGTGGCTAGCTTTGCCTTGTTCGCATAGGCGTTAAGGGGTAACGTTCAGGTGAAGGTGTGATTATGATACAACGTGTTGTGTCTGAAATTACAACAATGATGCATGGTTTCGTGTGGCTTATTTTATTTAGATGCTGTGTTAGCATGAGAACAAGCTCACTGTAGTTATGATGACAGATAGCAGCAGATTCATCTTTAAACTGTGATTTAAGGGCTCGTACATGATTGAAACTGTGGTTCTGGTTTGGGGACAGACGGCTGCAGAAGTGAGCAAGGCTGTGTGTTTTAAAGTTGTTTCTCTCCTTCTTTATCAGAGTGTTTTACCAATGACTGAAAGAGCGGAGACCATGGACGCTCCAGATAGCCACGATAATGCGCCACCAGCTAAGAAAAATGGGCAAACCTCACTGCTGGACAGCGGGGAAGACTTCGAGGTTTTGGATGAAGATGACATTGATGACGACCCACCTCCTCTGGAAGATGCCGGGGGTGGGAAGAGTAGAAACACAGATAAGTCAGAAAATAAAAATACAGACGTGGACCCAGAACCTACAGGTCAAGTGGACGAATGGGTTGATGTGTTAGGTATGTAACAAATGCACATGACATATTATACGACAGTATATTCCTGTTTAATGTTTATTAAGTGTCCTGATCAAATCCACCCCCACAGCCCAAAGCGTTGTGATTTCCAAGCACATTTTTGACTCGTGATTGCTCCAGCTATTGGACTGGGATCAGTTCTGCGAGTGACTGAAATCACTACTGTGTGTTTCCAGGAAATGGCCAGCTAAAGATAAAAGCACTGGAGGCAGGGGAAGGAAGAGACAGTCGGCCACAGAAAGGACAGAATGTGAAGATTAATCTTAAAACCTATCTGATGGATGGAACGCTTCTAGTGGAGCAGCCTGACCTCTCTTTCACTGTGGGAGATGGGGATGTCATTCAGGTAAAACCGCATCATGCTCAATTTGTTTTATGTTCCTTTGAAGTGGCAAAGAATGTATGTGAGAAGTTTCACATTCGTATGTTGGGTTATGCATAATTAACTTTATGTTAATGGAGGTACTTGGTGTTACATTATACATACCAGTAATTTACTGCAGAGAAACTTTTCTTCTTTCAGGCACTGGATCTAACAGTGCAGCTCATGGAAATGAAAGAGAAGGCACTCATCCAGACTGATGCTAAATATGCATATGGTGCCCGGGGAAGGTAGGAATGTGTTTAAATCTAGCTGCTAAAGCCACAGAACTGTTCTTGTAATGTAGCCAGAAAAATCCAATCATATAAAAGCTGCATTTGAACTCCACTTTAATTTTTACCGTTCACAAAGACATGTTAATTCCTTTTCTTGCTATAGAACAAAATGGTGTAGCTGTGTTTTCTCTACTTGGACGGGTGACAGTTAAAATTCTTTGTCTGTAACCTAGTATGTGGTGTGTTTTACTTCCTCATCTCTTGACTGTGCCTGTGTTCCTTCCCCTTGACAGTCTTGAACCCGAGGTTCCCCCAAACGCTGAGCTTTCCCTTGAAGTCGAACTGCTAGAAGCTACTGATGCTCCAGACCTGGAGCTGCTGCCCCCTGTAGAAAAGATTGCCCTGGCCAGCCATAAGAGAGAGCGGGGCAATGTCCATTATCAGCGTGGGGACTATGCTTTTGCTGTCAACTCATATAGCATTGCCCTGCAAATAACAGAGTCTAGTTCTAAAGGTGAGATGCATGTCAGGAGTCAGTGGAAGTTTTATTGTAATAAAACAGGATTCTCTGTTTATTGTTGTTTACTTTCATTATACAGTTTTGTAAGTTTACCCCTTAAGCAACAGGAGGCTGCAAATTAAAATCTAACTGGTACTCCATCTGACATAGTTAAAAGACAGGAAAAAGTCACTGATTAACTCATGACAAACAAATGTTCAATCATTTTAATGATGCTTGTTAGACAGTATAATTACAAACTTGTATGCACAAAATAATACGTAACTAATGTCAGTGTTTGCTTTGGGTCAGACTTGAATACAAACACGATTCATTTTTGTTAAAGGCTCAACCCTGCTCAATGCTGTTCACAAGCTGTTTAGTGTAACTCCTCTCCTTCTTGAATCTCTGCAATAAAGGTGGAGGGTACAAAGCTCGCCACAATGCTAAGCCACAATAGCCACTGTAATGTGAAATACATCAGGCTAAAATAAACTGGAAATCTCCTTCAGGTCTAAGTCCAAGGTTCTCTTTTTATGTGGCCTTTATACTGTGTTATTTTTTTTATTATCATTGTTTCAATGTTGTGTCTTCTGTTATAGTTGACATTACCCCTGAGGAGGAAAATGAGCTGATGGATGTGAAAGTAAAGTGTCTCAACAACATGGCCGCTTCTCAGCTCAAACTGGACCACTATGAGGCAGCACTTAAATCTTGCGTCTTAGCGCTTGCGCACCAGCCAGACAACATAAAAGCACTTTTCCGCATGGGCAAGGTACATATTGTTCTAGTTCTTTCAGTTTCTTTTTGTTGAACTCTGGCAGACTCATTTGATAACAGTTATGTGCTCACACTTCAGGTGCTGGCCCTGCAAGGTGAATACACAGAAGCCATTCAAACGTTGAGGAAGGCACTGAAGCTGGAACCAAGCAACAAGGTACTTTTGGAATTATCTTAGTAGTTTTTGATAAATTGTGTGTTTTAGAATAGAGAAATAGTAGTCTACTGTTATGGCCAGTAGATGGTGCTATAGGGTAAAATATCACTTGGTTAGCAGTGCAAGGTCAGGTGGACTGCTGATTCATCATTTCAGAGGATCTGTTTTCATGTTGTTGCTGTAAATAGGTTTGCCCTGTACCCCAGCCATATCTAATGCCGAGCCACTGTTTCTATTCTCCTGCTTATACAACTGGGTATATGTGGTTCTTTGGCTGCACAAGACCATCGCACAGGATTTATCCAAGTGTGTGGGCTTCTTGGATCAGCTGTAAGCTGCAGCAGCATGCTACTCGTGCCCAGAACTTCAGTCCTACACCAATCTGTCAAACAGCACATGGCCTGTACACCACTTTTCAGCCAACACATGCAGTGTAAATGCAATGCGCTATTACATTTTCTGTTAGTGTATCCTAGGCGAGCTGCTGAAAAAAATGGGCCTCTGCGCAGTTGGGAATCTGAAGTATCTGAATGTCTGTTCTTTCCATATCTGCAGTACAAAGATGTTGTCGATGGCATGCACCTAAAAGCCCTTTTGCCTGGCATAGTTGTTCCATTTCATAACTGTCATCCTTGTGTATGTTTACAATAGTGTGTGTGTCAATGCATGTCTAATTTGGTGCTGGATGTGATGTTTTAATGCTAAAATGGATTTGTCTCTCAGTGTTATAATAATAAACAAGGCTCCCTAAATAACCCCATGTTCTAGCAGCGAGAACAGTGGGTGTGCTTCTGTGACAATGCCAGGACGCTCTCATTATAATCAATGAGGCGGTCTTAAACAGGCGCAGGCATCATGAAGTGACAAGATGACGCACTATCTTTCTCTTCACCGAGCACAGAGAGACATACTGTCTGCATTTTTTACACTGGTGTCAGCTATTCACGCCCTCTATCTTAAACACAAATGGATGAGAGGAGATTTATTTGTCTGTGGTTTGTTTACTTTATGAAATGACATGCAGCCTGACAGTTCCAGTTTAGACAGCCTCAGACTGTCTCGGCCCAGTATTTGGACACGCAGATGCTCAAAGGACAGGATGTTACACATTTGTTTAGCTTATTTTATCCTTTCCCCCGGGGACAAGTCAGTGTCGTGTCATTATGGTCTTCTTGGTGGGTAGTTGATTGTATAATAGCAGTGCCAACTCGCCAAGGGTGCCCAGCTGTAAGTGTATCTTCTTACTGTTAGCAGTAGGTAGGAACCGTTAAATCCTCAGGGTAAGAACTTGTACAGACAGAGACACTGACTTTCTGCTCTCAACTGATCTTCCCAGGTAGACTGCACTCAAAAATACAATTAGTATTAAGTGAACATTACGGTAAGCTCTATGTAATGGCGCTCTATCAGGTTTTCTGGAGGGCTTTTACTAAGCAGAAATGTTTTTTGGCTCTGAAAACCCTGGTTTGCTTAGTCACTCACCAGCTTTAAGAGCAGCGAAGTGACTCAGATCTGAGACTACGCTGGAACAATAACTGAACCCATATCCTGGAATAATTGTGTGGACATGTGGGCTAAATTGCAGGCTAATTTTGTGTTGCAAGCCTGTGATTTCTTGGAAGACAACAAAGAATAGCATAAACACTTTTCCGGTATTTATTTATGTTAAGCGTTTAATCAATGCTTTTTCTAACCATAACAATTAAAGAAAAAAAATATTGGTCGTCTTTCTTTTGAAAAGCCCGGTGATTATGGCTATTTTTCGTGCTTTCCACACCACTTGGTCACTGCTTGTGTCTGTTGATGTAAGGGTTATTATCATCCTGACACGTTATCATTACCAAGGAAACCAGACTCGGGTTGTTATACAGGAGCAGGACTTTGTTTTATACATGTCATTGGTAGACAAATTAGAACTGGAGCCTGCAATATGTTTTCGTCTCGTCTCTCTTGTATAGACAATCCATGCAGAGCTCTCCAAGCTGGTGAAGAAGCACTCGGAGCAGAGGGGAGCAGAGCAGGCCATGTATAAGAAGATGCTGGGTAACCCCTCCAGCAGCAGCGGCACACAGAAACACCGGGCCAAGTCTTCATGGGTGAGACAGCCATTGCCTCAGAAAAAAGCATCATGCATCTAAATGAATATTTTAAGTGATGAATATCTTGTTTTTCGTCTGTGTCATGGTATTCAACCCACCTAACATGCGCTCTACATTTATTCCCCCAGGGTCTGAGCTGGAAGTGGCTCTTTGGTGCCACTGCAGTAGCCATCGGCGGTGTAGCTTTATCCGTTGTCATAGCTGCTAGAAACTGAAGCAAGAGCCTGTAGTGATGGCCTGACCAGTCCCATGGCCTGCAGTGGGAGAGCCTAAACACAGAAGCACAGCTGGCAGTGCCTTCTGACCTTTGGCCAAAGGGGGTGGAAATGTCAGTCGGTCAGTCGCCTCTTCACTGTCACTCTCTTTTCTCTGCTATGTTTGAGAACTATATGTGACAAATAATAAATCATCACTAATTGCATATGAGAGATATATTTCCAACCTTTTAAATGTGTAGGTTTGTGCATATCTGTCACATTGCCAGACACTGTTTGTTTTTTGGGGTTTTTTTGCTGCCATTGTTTGTGTCTCTGGTAGTTAATGTTGGATTATTTGAGCATTTATAATAAAAATAGATGCAGATAGTAGCTATTTAAAAATATTTTTAAAGAATAGCTATTGTGATATGGTCCTATAGTGATGCTATAGTTTTAAAGCATCATGTTGTCCAGTTATTTTATTATCCAGATGGGATTTCACTTTGCCACGGTACAATGTTTCATGTTGAATCTACACATAAGTACACTAAGTGACCAGAAATAAAAACAACACCTGTAGGATGAAATGCAGTCCAACAGCAGTTTAATTTTTACACCCATGTTTTCAGTTTTTCTTTAGTTGATTCATTCATATTGAATCCATTTTGTGTTGCATACGCTGAGGTTTGTTCTTGGTCACTCATCTGTAGATACATAAAATCATCTGCTCATGTAGATAAACTGTACTTTTCAATATTTCTCAAATCACCCATTTATGTTTTTTGTTTGGGCTGCAAGGTGGCGCAGTTGGTAGCACTGTTGCCTCGCAGCAAGAAGGCTGCTGGTTCACGTCCCAGTGAGGACACCAGGATCTTTCTGTGTGGAGTCTCCATGTTCTCCCCGTTCTCTCTCCGGGTTCTCTGGCTTCCTCCCACACAGTCCAAAAACATGTTGAGGTTAATTGGTGATTCTAAATTGTCCGTAGGTGTGAATGTGAGTGTGCTTGGTTGTCTGTCTCTAAGTGTAGCCCTGTGATAGACTGGTGACCTGTCCAGGGTGTCCCCTGCCTTTGCCCTAAGTTGGCTGGAATAAACTCCAGCCCCCCATAACCCTAGTGAGGATTAAGCGGTGTCTAGATAATGGATGTTTTTTTTTGTTTGTTTGTTTTGGTAATTGAGACGCAGTTATTACCTTTAAAACAATGCAGAGATGGTACGTGTAGTTTCTCTGGTTGGGCGGAGGGAGACTTGACTTTGATTTCAGTCAATTATACCTCAATTTTTGATGATTCAGACCAAATGTTGAAGGATGACCCTTCAAGTACCATGTTGGGTATGTGTTTTGTTTTTTTTCCTGTGATGTTTTACCTTTTAGATCCTTTTAGATGTTAATTTATTCCACTGTTTTTTGCTCATTGCTTTCTTACATCCACTAAATGTGACCGACCCTACCAACTCCATGGCTTCTTCAGAGTCGACGGTCAGCACATAGAGCCAAAATTGCATCAACCCTTAACATTCGCTGACTTATGAAGTGGTCTGAAAAATTCCTGGCATTCCCTGCTTTTGTTAAATTTGTATTCATCACTAATAAAATATGTCTATTATCAAACCACAGTTTCCCTTTTTTTGTATTCTAATGCTTTCTGCCAATGTATGTAATGGAGTATTGACAGCTATGGAACGGTTTCGTGGGATGTTCCTGATCGACCAGCCATTACAGGTGCTCTGCTGTATTTGTGCCTTGTGATCGTGGTTGCAAGGATTTTAAAATATCATCGCTATAGACGGGCCTCTACCAGACAAGTAAACCTGGACTTACCTTAAGATCGCCTAGGTCAAGAATCTGGGGTTGACAACTAAAGATCTGAACTTCAGCAATCACACCAAAGCGGGCATCCTAAAAACATGGCCAAACTGAGACACCTAGAGTTAGAAAAACAGATTCATGCTTTTATTACATGTAAAGTGGACTTCCATAATGCTCGCCTCACTGGCCTCCCTCATAAGACCCCTAAACATCTGCAAGTCATTCATGATGCTGCTTCTAGAACACTGACAAACACTAAGAAAAGAGAGAGCACATCTCCCCAAATTCTGAGTTCCTGCACAGGCTTCCAGTTAGATACAGGATTGAATTCAAGGCCCTACATATTGCCTTTAATTCTCTGAATGATCCGGGCCCAAAATAAATCTGAAATATGTTTGCTGAAGCCTGGTAGATGTCTCACATCTGCTGGGATTGGTAAATTAGTGGTGTCCAGAATTCAGACCAGACATCATAAAATGGTGTTTAGTCATTATGCTGCCCACTGCTGGAACCAGCTCCCATCGGAACTTGCCCCAAGGGTAGCCTTTTTTTTTTTTAAAGCATGCTGAAGACAGTTAATTAAAAGTTGAATTTAAAAAAAAAGATTAACTTTTTATACTTTTTTTAAAAAATAAAGTCTGGTGTAAACTGCCTGTACTTTTATTGCCTGCACTTCTTCAACTTGTTTGTACTTTTTAAATTGTTTTGATTCATTTTAATCATTTTATTTTTGTTCTGCTGTGCTTTATCTTTCAACTGTTTTTACCTTTGAAAACTTCTAAACATGAAATAAACTTTCTCGCCTTTTTTTTTTTGCTTGCTAAAAGTCCCTGACATCCCTTAAACATGCTTTATTTACATTCCTTACTGTTTTATTTGTTTACAGCTGAATAAGTTTTCAGGATACCCACAAGCCAAGTGTGTGTGTGTGTTTTTCTGTGTCTTTTTTCCTCCAGACACTGACGTCTCCCTGACGCAATCAGATGACCTATCGTTTCCCTGTTCCTACGCATTACTGATGGGCAATGCTGGTTAGTACATGCTGTGAGGAATTCACATTTAGTGGCTTATTAATTATATAAAATTAGGAAATAGAATAGTTTAAAAATATATCGTACGAGTCACCTGTTGTGTACTAGCTGTGAGTAAAAGTAGTAAAATTCTTCAAAGATTTTTTTATTTTTTTTTATTTTAAAAGTAAAGCAGGATAATAATATAACAATATTTGGTGTGTTTATGTATTGTAGTGGAAATATATATAATTTTAAAATTCAATACACGAGCGTGCGGGGCTTCATTACCACCCGGTGACTTCATCACCGGTGAGCGGTCATTGAATATTCATTGAAAAGCAACGGGAGTTCTCGGTTTACGACAGAGTGCGTCCGTGCGCGTGGTGGGAACGGTAGCAAGATGGCGGCGCTGAAGGAGGAGCAGTGCTACGGACTGTCCTGTGGAAGAGTGAGCAACGGCAGCAATGTCTCCGTCTTCCACGTTAAACTCACTGACAGCGCGCTGAGGGCGTTCGAGGGCTACCAAAGCAGCAAGGTAACCGGCCGTTCTCAGTACCGTGACATTTTTTTTATTTATTTATTATTTTGTGCGAGTGTGTGTGTGTGTGTGTATGTGAGTGTGTGTTGGTTTGCCGTCCTGGCGGCGGCGGCGGCGGCTGTGACAGGCGGAGTGAGGTCAGTCCCCCCCTCCACCACCACCACCACCACCAGCAGCACTTCACTCGGTTCTAGTCTCGCTGCCTTCATGCTGCCACATCCAGGCTAGTTTTAGGGGGGCTCATAAGTGGACCAGTTGAGCCCCTCGACTGGCTGAGGCTAACTGGCTGGATGTTGGATGTTGTGTCGCTTCTTTTTTTTTTTTTCGGCGTTTCGCTCCAGCTACACCCTGACTCACACCGACTCGGGCATTTATCCACCTCACTGGACACTGAACCCTGGTTGTTATTTTTGTCTATTTAAAAAATATATATACATATAATCTAAACTGTCTATTTCATCCGGCGCAACAGTTTATTTCAACTTGCTCAAAATGTCTGTAATAAGAATTTCTCACTTGTACGTACAGATGTTTCCAGAAAGTTTTGTAGAAGCTGTCAATTTATTATCTTTTTTTTTTTTTTTTTTGGCAAACCTTGCTAACTGAACTAGCCCACACATAATGGCAACAGCTACCTCTTGGATGTATGAGCTCTCTTTCCTCACTGACTTTGAAATTGGTAACTCCACGAACGTGTCTATGACAACACGGTGAATAATTTGGAAAAGTACCCAGTATTCATGGCAAAGATTTTCTCTTCCCAACCCCCCCAACCCCTTCACTGGCAGTAAAGGCTCATGTGCACTTTACAGCTTTAGAACTGAGTTATCAAACAGTAGATCCAACACATTTATTTTTGTCAGCAGTGAGGTTTTTAAATAAAGAGACAGAATTCAAGGTCTGCTCTCTGAAATGGCTCTGCTGCTGCTGCTGCTGCTGCTGCTACTTCTTGCTTGGCTTCTTGTGTGGAGAGCTTTAAGTCTGATGGTGGCCATCTAACGTTTCAGCTTCTATAAATATTTGACAGGGAAAACCTGGCAGGCCAGGAGGAAAGGGCCTTATCTCCAGCTTCAGTGGCTGTGTACAGCAGGACTGCAGCTGATAAACCGGAACAATGAAATTGTGACAGATAATTGGGAGACTACTAGTTATAGGATGAGTCTTGCTTAAACAAATGTGTGACACACGAGGTGAATCAACATTAGACGGTCATTGTAGCAACAGTAGTTTGTTTTTAAGGACTTCTGGTAATTTGAAATGTGGGGATTTTTTCGTATTTGGTTGACTGCAACATTTTTGCAATGAAAAGCGTAAATTTGGGGATTTTCAAAGGCATGCAACCAGAGAGATTTGTACTGCTTCATTCAACTTGCATTGCTGGTGATTTAGGTTTGCTTTATCGCTTTTTTAGCCGCTACCTGAAACTTATCCTTGATTTGAACATTTATATTACCAGTTGTCGATTGTGTTCACCAGACTGGATGTTTGTTGTGCAAAGTTTTGCCATCTTTCAGCTTCCAGGGTTTGTGTCGGGTTAAACTGAATTCTTAATTTGGAAAAAACTGAAGCACATTACCCACAAGTATTTCTACCAGTACCCATAATTCCTAGCAATATAGGAACAATGTACACGTGATTGTCTCAAGCAGCTCGGGTTTTACAGAGTTAATATTGGCAGGGCTTTTCCTGAGAATAGAATGCTGCCCGGTCTTTGGCACCATTCCTTTAATTCTACAGAGGCATGTTAAATACACATACTCTGGCAAATTTATATGCAAAGTAGTAATTCACATTTTCAAAAGTGATTAGTACACCTTAAACATGAATTTTTGGTTTCCAAAAGGATTGCAGAAGCAGGAAAGTGGAAATGTCAAACAGTTACAGTGCACCTTTCTTGTGAAGTGCCTCTTGTATAGGCAGGCAGACCTGCTACTGAAGTTGTACTGCATTACCTCGACCAGATATGGGTTATTGAGTTATCAAAAGTGTGAATGCGAGAGGGAAGCAAGCACTTGGAGAAGTAGGGTGACAAAAGTGTGTGCTGCATCATTTTTGGGGATGCTACAGCTTGGCTAGGACAGTTCTTTAATTCACATTTTTGCTTCTTGTGTGGGTGGAGGAGTGTCTTTACGGTCAACGGTTTCAGGGGGAGATCTCTTACTTTGGGTTGCCTTTTTAGTGCTAAATAACAATACAGTGTACTTTCTCTTTAATTTAGAGATGCATAAAGATGGCACAGGCAAATAAGCACTGT